CCCTCCCCGCCCCGCCCGCGCGCGCTCTCCCCCTGCCAGCGTTCTCCCGCGCGCCCCGTCCCGGCCCCTCCCGCGCCCGCTCCCCATCCCTCACCCATTAATTGTGAAAGTACGTGTGGAGTGGTCGGTTTGTTGTAATTTTTTTTTGGGAGCTAAGAAACATGAAAACATGATTCCCACAAAATTTCTGATTTTTTTGACGACTGTAGCTATTTTTTCTAATTTCTTATTCTTTAATATTTAAAAATTCATTAAAAAAAATTGGTTGGTTGAAAAATTATGAAACTTGGTTTATGGATCCATTAGAATGTCCCATTCATGAATCAATCGAGTTCCTGGAAAAAAATATTGTAAAACTCGAGATATTCGACCGTATGACGGCTCAGAAAAATCGTGTCTAGGCCTGGCAGACCAAAAATGCCTCAAAATGTACTATATAGGGGGGTGACTAGTCTGCATGGGCTGGCCACGGGGGCGCCCCCTATATTCTCCGCCACCCCCACGCCCCAAGCACTATGCGCCGCACATGGGCATATGCTTGGGGTGTGGGGGTGGTGGTTGGCGGACGACGGCGGTTGACGTCGGTGTTGCGGTGGCGAAACTTGCAGGTTTGAGGTAGTTGTCGGTCGCGCCTTCGGGCGTGCAAATGAGCCTTGTTGAGGTAGGACTGTTGCGATGTTGCCTAAAAACTTGGGCTGCCTTGAGGATGGTGGATGGTCGGTACGACGACAAAGCGTGCAAGGTAGGGTGGAGTTAGGTGCCTTCGGGCGTCCAACATGAGCCTCGTTGAGCGTGCGACGTTGTGGTGACGCCGTCGGGCCATCCTTGGGGCAGCCCTATGTTTTGAAGGCGTGTGGTGCCAGGACATGTTCGGCTGGTTGGAATCGGGTGCCTTTGTGGTGACGCCGTTGGGCCATCCTTGGGGCAGCCCTATGTTTTGAAGGCGTGTGGTGCCAGGACATGTTCGGCTGGTTGGAATCGGGTGCCTTTGGGCGTGCGACATGAGCCTCGTCGAGCACGAAACGTTGCAATGTTGCCTTCTAACTGGGATTCTCTGGTGTGAGGACTGTGGATGTCTGCTGGTACGATGATGAAACATGCAAGGTGGGGTGGAGCTGGGTGCCTTCGGCGTGCGGCATGAACCTCGTTGAGTGTGGGACGTCATTGTGGCATGCCTCCCTTCCGTGGGCCAGCCCTATGTTTTGAAGGCTGCGTGGTGGCAGAACATGCTTGGTGGGGCGGAGTCAAACGACTTTGGGCGTGCGATATGAGACTAGTTGAGCATGGAATGTCGCCTTCTAACTTGGGCTGCCTTGAGGATGGTGGATGGTCGGTACGACGACAAAGCATGCAAGGTGGGGTGGAGTTGGGTGCCTTCGGGCGTCCAACATGAGCCTCGTTGAGCGTGCGGCATTGTGGTGACGCCGTCGGGCCATCCTTGGGGCAGCCCTATGTTTTGAAGGCGTGTGGTGCCAGAACATGTTCGGCTGGTTGGAATCAGGTGCCTTTAGGCGTGCGACATGAGCCTCGTCGAGCACGGAACGTTGCAATGTTGCCTTTTAACTGGCATTCTCTGGGGCGTGCGACATGAGCCTCGTCGAGCACGGAACGTTGCAATGTTGCCTTTTAACTGGCATTCTCTGGTGTGAGGACTGTGGATGTCTGCTGGTACGGTGATGAAACATGCAAGGTGGGGTGGAGCTGGGTGCCTTCGGGCGTGCGGCATGAACCTCGTTGAGTGTGGGACGTCGTTGTGGAATGCCTCCCTTCCTCGGGCCAGCCCTATGTTTTGAAGGCTGCGTGGTGGCAGAACATGCATGGTGGGGCGGAGTCAAACGACCTTGGGCGTGCGACATGAGACTAGTTGAGCATGGAATGTGGGCTTCTAACTTGGGCTGCCTTGAGGATGGTGGATGGTCGGTACGACGACAAAGCGTGCAAGGTGGGGTCTTCTAACTTGGGCTGCCTTGAGGATGGTGGATGGTCGGTACGACGACAAAGCGTGCAAGGTGGGGTGGAGTTGGGTGCCTTCGGGCGTCCATGGTGGATGGTCGGTACGACGACAAAGCGTGCAAGGTGGGGTGGAGTTGGGTGCCTTCGGGCGTCCAACATGAGCCTCGTTGAGCGTGCGGCGTTGTGGTGACGCCGTCGGGCCATCCTTGGGGCATCCCTATGTTTTGAAGGCGTGTGGTGCCAGAACATGTTCGGCTGGTTGGAATCAGGTGCCTTTGGGCGTGCGACATGAGCCTCGTCGAGCACGGAACGTTGCTATGTTGCCTTCTAACTGGGATTCTCTGGTGTGAGGACTGTGGATGTCTGCTGGTACGATGATGAAACATGCAAGGTGGGGTGGAGCTGGGTGTCTTCGGGCGTGCGGCATGAACCTCGTTGAGTGTGAGAC